CCACACACTGTGGCCTGCTGGTGTGTGAGGGGCCACCAGGGCTGTCACACCCACCATGGCTGTGTCCAGTCTGTGAGGGGACACCAGGGCTGTCACCACACACTGTGGCCTGCTGGTCTGTGAGGGGACATAGGGGCTGTCACACCCACCATGGCTGTGTCCAGTCTGTGAGGGGACAGTAGCTCAGCACTGGAGCCATTTCTGGAAACCTTTGAAGAGTTTCACTCACCGGCTGCCGCCGACCCAGTTCATTTTCTGCTGCTGAGGAAGGAGGGCAGGCTGCCAGGTGTGGTGCTGGGGATGGAGAGGGGAGCAGCGGCCACCACTAGGATGGTTTGGTGCCTCCTGGTAAGGCCACAGGGCCCTCCCGCAGGGCCTCCTCCTCCCTGGGAGATCCAGGGCAGCTGCTGCCCGCACCCCCGGGCTGCCCAGTGCCCACAGAGGAGGAGGGGAAGGTGGTACAAGGACAAACAGCAAAAGGATGCGGACACAGAAAGCCAAGGCGGGCAGGCTGATGGGGAGGAGGCAATGCTCTGGTTGCTGCCCTTGGCATTTCCACACAGGCTCTGCCAGAAGCCATGGCCCATTAGTAAGGGAATCACAAGCCTCTTGCTCTCCCAAGTGAATCAAATTTACAGTGGAGTGGGTTACATAGCTGCTGATGTTTTGTTCTTCAGGCCCAGATCGTCACTGCTGCAATGACCATAATTTTTAAGAACAAAAGAGGAACCACCTTCCTCCCCATCCTGCTCTTCCTCAGGTGTTTTAGGAACCATGGGGGAATCAATGAGCATTTTCTACTAGTAGGCATCATCATCTTTGGAGCTGCCTGTTGAGCTTTTGCATGTAAATAGGGACAGGGGTCCCTGAGGAGGGACAGAGCTGTGGGTGCTCCTGGGGGATCTCAGCAGCAACACAGCTCCCCTTGCTCCCTTCCCTGTGACTCAAGCCTTTGCTTCAGCAAATGAAGGCACCTGTTTACAAAACAGTCATTAAAATTCTATATGAATCTTTTCCTGTGGTGTTTCTTTCTTTGAGTTATCTTTAGCCTAACACTTTTCAAGGTATTAATGAGTGATTGCCATTAGTATAAAGTGAAGAGTGCTCAGAATACATATTAGGAGCCTAATAATGAAAATGACACACTTTTTTTTCTTTCTAATACTTCTAATTTTGCTATGAAGTTTGTAGAACACACAGGTGAAAGATTATAAAAGTGAAAAGACCTGCTTCTCTAAAAAATCAACTATTAAATTGAATAAACTTACTGGAGAACATGTTTTATCATTCAGATATCTCCAGTATTTCTGATTAGTATGCATAATTGTTTCTTGTAACAACACTAGATTAAAATCTTCATAGTAGAATATATCTGTATTTTAAGTGCATGTGCCTTTACAGTTAATATGACAGACTGAAAGATTATTTAACTCGTTTCATCACTGGAAAGAATCCTTTTTATTATGTTTGCATTTCCATCTAGTGTAAATGTTTAACTTGTTAATATTATGTCTAACAGCTAGTTTCAGGCATGACATAATCAAATTCCTTTCACTTATGTTTTTGTAAGTTGGTATTTTCTGTACCACCCTTAGTCTTACTCTCCCATGGAATTATTTGGATTCAAAGGAAAAGACTGCACTTCTGATTTATTGAATCTGGTAGTTAGCAGTAGTTTGTAGAATCCAGGAAAGGTGATGTAGCAGCTTCAATTAATAATTTTTCAAAATAAGGAATTTTTCCCTCCTCAAATTATTTTCTGCAGATAAAGCTAAACACCTTTTGAAGAGTTGTAAAATTAAGAATCAGTTCTTTCTTTGATGAAGACAAAATAAACAATGAAATAAGACCTAAGGTGCATGACTCGAGACTTCCAGTGTCTAAATATTGCACCTTGACTGTCAGCATTTGAAAACTCTGAAATAATTTATTTGAATTTTCGAGTGTTGCCGTACTTTCAAAGAAGTGCAGGACATTATTATTAATTTTTAAAAGGTCTTGAGAATTAGTTTCTTGGAGCTTAGTGTCTTCTCTGGGAAGTGAACAAGGAGACTTTCTCCATGTGTCAAAACCTGAAGTTTAAAGAAGAAAAAAGCCTTGAAAATTTTCCTTTTTTTTTTTTGTAGCTTTTTAACCGACACTCTTCAGAATAACTCCATCTCATGTTCCTTTGTTAAGAAAGTGTTATACAGGGTCTTCTTCGGAACAGCTTTCCAACCTTCATCACTTGAGTCTCCCCCTCAGACACACTTCCTCATTATCAGATCAGCTTTAGATGTAAGTGACGTAGCAAAGCAGTCTAAAGCAATGTATTATCTATCTGAACTAGGACTGCATTTCTCCAGGAAGGCTGGTGTTGAAATGACTGCACAATTTAATGGAATCCAGACTTGAGTAGGTCCTCACAGAAGCCCTGTATAATCAAATAAGAGAGAGGAGGGTCTTCTAGTTGGTTACTCAGAGCACCTGAGTTAGGTTCCTACTCTATGTCTCAACGTCCAGAGAAGTGGCAGCTAAGTTAACTGAAACTGCATGAAGTGGAAGTGTGTGCCACTGCCTGCAGCATTATTGTACCCTGAAGATTTGAACAGCCTTCTTTCCCTAAGCAGGATGGTTTTTTCCCTTGAGTGAATAGACACTGCTTATGTAAAATCTTCTAGTCACTGGAGACAGTGAGGGAGAAAGAGAGAGAAGATATATTTCCAAGTATTTCTTAGAACCAACTGCAAATGGTTCTCATGTTTCTTAATGAATCTTCCATTTCCCAGCAAGTGTCCTCCTCTAATGCTCGTTATAACAAAGGAAGGGATTACTAGACCGATGAATGTGTAATAAAAAAAAAAAAGCCCTGGAGATTCTCACAGTTGGGTTTACATATTTTACAACATAACTGATTTTTTGTGTGTGTGTGTTAATTTAGCATATTTTAACTTTGATTTTTGCCCCAGATGTTTGATCTTGATATCTAGCACTGGGCAACTAAATCCATCCATAGATAACTATGTGAAAGATGCAAAACAGATGAAATGCTTTTTATTTCTGTATCCAGGCTGGGGATTTCTGTTTCTTTACAACGCCAGAATGTATTTATTTAGGTGCCTAAATATTGACCTAATAATCTAAGGCTAGGAATGCATGACTGAAAAAAAAATGAGTGTGTTCCAAGTGAAAGCTTTTGTCTGGCAAATCCAGGGCTTAAACTTTGTTTACAGACTTGCATGTTGTTCTCCCAGTCAACACTCCTCTGCCCGTTTCCTTCCTTGAGAGACCAGCTTATGGAGAATACATATATGCTAATCTGGCTGGTGGCTTTGCCCTAAATCAGTTATTTTTAAACGATGGCTGTGATATTAAGAAGTCATGACATAGTCTGAGGAGGTTTAAAACAGAAGGAAAAATGTGTTAAAACAAAGGTTCCCCTTCAAAAAGTAGTTCCTCTGGAAAGACATAACTCTCTTTGACTTAATTTAAAGCCCTTCATCCATCTTTAAAGGGCAGAGGCCTTTTTTGACTTACTCTAAGGGAATTAGTTCAAAGAATTCTAGAAATCACAGAAAGCCCAAGGATTTTTGTATTTCACCACAAAACACTAATGTTCAGCCAAACATCTAAAGAAAAACACAGTGGGCTTCCTTATGTTCACATACAAAGCATCAGCATTAGATTAGAAATGTATCAGTAAATTCCCATATGAGCTGAGTAGCATTCATTTGGTATGAAACCTCAGTTTAAACACATACAACATCTATTGAAATCAATGATTATCCATACATTCAGCAGAAGTTTTGCCCCTGTCATCTTGGAAACGGTGTGATAAGAGACCCCCTTTTATGGTTGTTTCTCCTGGTATGCACTTCTTGCTGAGCTGGATTCACGACATTAGGTGTGAAGGAGATTGGAGTGAGCATAAATGGAAAGAGATGATGTCATTAGTCCAAAGATGAGACAGCAGAGAGCTAAATAGCTTTCAAAGATAGCAAACCAGCCACTTCAGAGAAGCACAAAATCTACATGGGTTGAAATTCAAAGCCCAGTTGTGAAGAACCAGAGATTAGATCTGTATGTCAGACCACCAGTCAGGACAGTACCATTGACAACAGTACGTTGACACATTACTGTATGAAGCAGATGCCATTCTTATGTGGCATGATTTAGATGGAATTATTTTGCATAGAATGAGCTCCCAAGATAAAGTACAGTCCTTGGCTTGATGGAGAACAATGTACAAGATCTGTTTCAGAAGCTCACGCTGGAATCCCCACTTTATTAAAACAGTATTTCCACAAAGAGCAACAAAGATGAAAGAATCCTCTATAGTTGTGCTAAACTCTAGTAAGGGAACAACAAGAGGCTTGTTAAAAACAGAAGAGGAGAGGGACCTAAAAGAATTAAATCCTTAGATGTGGTTTGGAGAAAGCTGAAGGACAGCAGACTTAAAGCAGAGACAGTCTGTAACAGCAGAAAGCTATACTGCATTCAAAGGAAGGTAACAGCAAGGATGAACTGTGATAAATGTAAAAATACAATTAGATGGGCCAAAAAGAATTTGGGAAATAACCAGGCAAAGGAACCAAAATACTAAATCATTCTTCTTATACATCAACTGGGAACAAAAGCCTGCTAGAAAGTCTGTAGGACCAGTTCATGAACAAGGTGCAACATGAGTGCTCAGAGGAAACATGGATGTTACAGAAAAGATAAGTTTTTTGCACCAGTATTCATTGATGAGGAAACTGGGCAGAATTTTATGCAGGAATCCTTTCTGGGGAACTCAGCAGAGGATCTGTTCAAAGTGAAAATAACAGTAGACGAGGTCAAAATGACCTTACCAGGACAGAATGACACTAGCACAGCACAAAGATTAAATGGTATTTACTGAAGAGTTCTCTAATATGTAGCAGTGTGGAAAGGACCACTTTAAACTTCCTTGTTTTTGGAGACTAGAGGGTAGCAATGTGACACAATAAAAAACAAACAAACAAAAAAAAAAAAGAAAAAAAAGAAACAACATCCGACCAAAAAAACACCCTGTGGCAATCCAGAAATCCTACTTCTGTAGTTCAAAAAAAGAGAAGAAACTATAATATAGGTCAGCATGTGAAGAGCCAACATAGCTTCTGTAGATTGAAGTGCTGCCTCGTAAGCACCTAGAAAAAAGTGATTAGGGAAACTAAGCAGGCATGACATAAAAGGGGAAGGTCCTGCCATTGGCTAAAATACAACAGAACATAGAGAGAATGTTTAGTTTCTGC